CCCCCCCCCCCCCTCCAACCCAATTATCTTGCATTGTATATTTTTCCAACTTGTGTTCTCCGTGATGAAAACCCTAATGTAATCTGCAGGATATCTGCAGTAATATTTAACAACTGATGTTCTTCCACTGCATACGTGTTCTTTCTTTTTGGATTTGTGTTGGGTTCACCATTTAAGGGCATGTTTCTGCATATATGCTTCCCATCTTTGTGTTAAGGTTTCAATAGGGAATTGGCAATTGCTTTTTAAAGTTCTTAGCTTGCACTTTAGTGTATTCCTCTTTGGTCTCGTCTTTATTTAAAAACTGAGAAGGCTCATTATTATCAAAAGTATAATAATGAATAGTTGAGATTATGGTGAGAAAATTGAACTTGTGTGCTTTTCCCAGAGCCACTTAGTCCAGTGAATCTCTAGATGCTTTACTTCAATGGTGTGGTTGTGCTGCCACCATCATTCATGGACCATATGCACTTACTAGTCAATTCTAAGGTGACAGTTCCTAGGCTTAAGTTTACATTAATTTGACTTTAATGATATGAATGGGTTCAAAAGATGGGGTGTCCATTCAGATTTGACCTTAATTTGACAAACACATCCAGAGTGGCATCAAACCTGGAGAGGTAGGGGGCAAGTTGGACAAAACCCCACCTGAGTAAATATTCAGTGTACGGTGTTATCATATCATCGGTAATACATGGTACCACTACCATCCAGAGTTCACTCGAAATCAGTCAAACTCTTGACAACCCCAAAATGGAGGGTGCTCGGCCAATTTTCTTCCCCATGCTGTCACCCTATCACCAATTATGTTCATTTTGAAACTCATATTGCAAACATAAAATAAATATCAATTGATTGTGTACATACATGTATGATTATATATAATATTATTTTAATTTGAAATTGATTTGAATGCGAGTTTTGGAGTGAATCGCACCCCAGTAGTGTGCTAATTAAATCTATACCTATCAAACCATGTGCAGATCATTCTGACAACTTAACCTTGTACCATATGTCAAATTAATCTACGATCCAAATAACATTGGTATTTCCATCCAATAACAAGGTTGGATGGATAAACTCATATGGAACTTCACTATTGATTTGTGATACCAAATGTCTAGTTGTTGTTTTACATACCTAAGACAGTGGATTACATATATATGAAAAGATTAGTCGGAGTGCTCTAAAAATTTGGATACATCTTTCCTAATCAGCAAAAAGAGGGGAAAAAAACGAACAGGCATCCTCTTATCCCATGATATCCAGGAAGCTGAAAATCTTTATGAGAAAACGATATCCTAGAAAAGAAAAGGAACAGATGCAACTTTTATTCCATTCTAGACTCTGATGCCAGAAGTGACTTTCTCCCCTTTCTTTTTTTCTTGTGGTTCTTTTGGTACGAAGGATGAAAAGAAGGAAAAAATGAAACGTAAAAGGAATAAGTTTTTTATCCACAAAGGAAAGAAAGTTATTTTTTTTTTCTTTTTTGTTTGATAGAAGGGATGAAAACTAAAAGGGATATATTTTTCATCGTTTAATATTGGATGAAAATTGAAAGGAAAGGAAAAATATATATGTCCAATTTATAATTCTACCCTTAAATATATTAAGTGAATTTTTTATTACAAATCAATCCAATTAATTTGAAAAAGCATTTAATCCCCTTATTTTTGTTACAAATTAATTTTGGAGGAAATACAACAGTGAATTTATCTCCTGGTGATCGGCAAAAGATGTGTGAACTGGGAATGAAATATATCTAATAAGTAAAGGGTAAAAATGTTAACTAAAAAAATTATTATATTGCCTGCACTTTTTCCCTTCACTTACCACCCAAATTTGGGCTGAAAATATTTGGTGAGCTGGAAGGATAGAGATTTTCTCCCACTTTCTTCTCCTTCATACTTTCTTTTGGTACCAAACAATGGAAACATTTTCCTTTCCTTCCATTTTTCCTCTCTCACTTCTTTTCCACCGATTTTTCCACCGTACCAAAGGCACTATTGGAGTCATCTGTGTGAACAAAGAAGGAATAAATCATTTGAGTAAGAAACTGAAACCCAAGGGGGCGAAAAATGTATTGTTTTACTAATTCTTGTCAATTAAGCGAAGGCATATTTTGGGATTAGTTAATTTTCTTATTATTAATGTTGATCTTTTTCAGCTTTATAGGTTAACGATTTTGCAAATGGGTTTTTGTGTTTAGCAATGTTTTTGTATTATTCGCAACCAATTGCAACTAGGCTTGTTTTTTCTCAATGGGTCTAATTTTCTTCCCAATGGAAATCGAGTTAGTTAGATGTAAATGGATTTTTTGACTGGCTATCCACGTTCAAGCCTAAATCTATTCTTTTTTTTTTTTTATCAAATTCTAATGTGGATATACTTAAATCCGATCTAATTGTAATGTAATCCTACTCATTAAATTTATGGGGATATTAGTGTTATTTGTTGAAATAATTGAGGGCAAATTTTAGATGAAATTTTTTAAACTCAATCGAAATTGAGTTATTTGAATCAAATCGACCTTTCTAACTGTCAACAGATTGAAACATAAACTCTAAAAAATAGAATCTTGATTTGGGTTCGAATTTGCCGAGTCCCATGCAAATACAGCCTAGTTAGCAATCATTTGCACCATGGCTCATAAGAATCTTTCATATCTACTCCAGTAGTTGATCATCCAAATAGTTTTTAGATGTGCACATATGCAAATGTAATTAATTATTCACTTGATGAAGTCAAAAGAAATTCGAAAAGCTCAAATTTCAATGTAATGTCATACTTTGCCTAAGCAAAGACGGGTCTCGTCGTTGATCCTTTGTTTGGAAAGGACTTAATCAACTCGTCTATATTAGCACTTGAATTATCCTTGGATTTTACTCTCACTTCTTTGGATATTATTTTTGTGCGACTAATAACCACGTTTTAATTTTTTAAGGACTGAGATCTATGAAATGTGATATGGTAAGTACAAGAGCAATGTTAAATCAGTGAGTAAAAGAATATGTAAATTCGTGTGTTTATTTTCTATTAAAAAAGATCATCACCCAAGTTAGTTTTCTAAGAAGGAATCTTTTCAACCATGCATCCTTTGAACTCATGGTGGAAAATATAAACTTTGAACACACGCAATCATTGTCCAACTTTGATCTCTTTAATATGACACGTTTTTAGTAAAGAAAAAAAGATAATTTGTACCTAATTGGAGAATATAATTCACTAATCCGATCAATTACAGCTATTGCACTAAAAATGGGATCCACCAACTTTAAAACTCATAACTAATTTAATAATTACAATTGATTAAATTAATGTATTAAGTCCCAAAAAAAGTCCTATTTAGTAAAACACCAATAATCCATGTTGGAAAAGAGTAACGTTATGTTGATCAAGTTTTTTATTAAATTTTTTATCTCAAGTGATGTGACACAATTTTTATCATTAAATATTAATAAAATTTATTTTTTTTAATAGTAAAAACTATACTACATCACTTCAGGTAAAAAATATCTGACCAGTATAGCAATGTTGATTGGAAAAAGAAACCAGTGAAAGTGGAAAGAGTAGAGATAAGAATATAGGAGACACACAAAAGTAAGACTTGATGATAAAGAAATACCCCCAAAAGAGGGAACACACTAGTGGTGGAATTTTGCCACATAGGCTTTGGGAG